CATATATTGAATAAATGACCTTACAAATGCTTTGTCAGGCTTTTGTGAGTCAGTATTATATTTTGAAATAATCATCTATACAAAAGAGTCATTTGAATAGATTAACTGTTTTCTTGGTGCTAGAGATAAAAAGAAACCAAAGCAAAGTTATTTTGGATCAGATTAAAAACCCACACATCTGTGCTTGATTCAAAAACACTGCGACACAAGATACACATTAACTTCTGTATGTCTGTATGCGCTAAAGCTGGAGGCAGCGATCTAGTTCAATATAAGGCGAGGACATGATATACTATAAAGCTTTGACTGCTGTAACCCTGTTCAGTGCATACAAATCCATATTAATCATCCAAATAATCTGATGAACGAGATGAGAGAGAGAGAGAGAGAGAGAGAGAGAGAGAGAGAGAGCAAGCTGGTGCAAATCCAGACCGAAGTTGTTCTTTATGGTTCTGCACCTCCAGCCGTGCAAACGTGTTACAAATTGCAGGATTATGAAACATTACCAATGTTATCCTGCAGTTCTGCAGCCAAATGTAGGCCCTGTCTGGAAACAGAGACTTCTGCTTCATAATCCACAATAAGGGATTCTGTATCACAGTCCAGGTGGCTTCTTGTCAAGCTTGTCAAGGTTTTTTTTCTTCTCTCTTTCATAGAAATCAGGAGCAAACCAAAGACTCATAATTGACAAAGCTCTCCCAGCAAAGCGAACAATGCAGGAAAACTGCTGTACACTGTTGTGTTACTATAATTACATAGTCCTTCCGAGCCCAAAAATAGAAACACAATAAAGGGAGATTTAAAAGTGACAAGTGAAACACACTTTCTTAGCGTTTGATCACGAATAGAGGAACAGGATAACAGGAAGCTGAAATGAGAGGAGAATCACACAATGAAACAACAAAAAGTCAGAAACGTACATGAACACACACACACACACACACACACACACACACACACACACACACACACACACACACACACACACACACACACACACACACACACACAGTCTGAGCTGCAGACACTTTAGCATGTATGCCGCTGATTGAGGCTGATTGAGTGCGAGCGAGTGCACAGGCGGGAGGCCAACAGTTTTGTGGGAAATTACAGAGTGGCACACTGCCTGTCAGCTTTTTTTTGGGACGAGATGCCTTTTAACAAACACGCACACACTCAGAGACACACACACACACGCACAGTCTGCTTCTTTGACAGGAGAGAGGAGATAGGAGGGAGGATTGATAAAAGCTTGAATTGTGGTGCATTTCAAAGTGAACAATTCCTAATTTTCATCAGACGCTTCATAATTGGGCTGTCTCATGTTTTTTTTTTATCTCAGACAGAAGTGACACAAAGTCAGTGGATTTGATTTAAAGTGCAACATGAGAAGCCCATTTGACAGTAATGGACTATAAATAATACTCCCTACATAATGCTTTATATTTTTTAAATAATAGTAAGTGTTTGATGTGCCATTTTAACCCTCTAAACTCACAATGAGAAGACGTCTATTTGCAAACACCGCTATTTATGATGTCCCAATACTTGATATCCCAAGAATGTGACTGAAAGGCAGGGTATGAAATTCACTTTTTGAGAAATAAATGGATCATTTGGAAGATCGATAACTCTTTGCACTTACTAGCCTTTTAGTTATCCAAATGCTAAAGCTCCTTAGCAGACCGATTGCAGCAGGATGGCTGATGTGCCGTGTAGTTCACAGTGATGTGTGGTGGCTGACGTTACTATGTGTGCGTCAGTGTTTGTTTGTGTGTGTCACTCTGTAAAACTCCAACTTGCAGGCAGCAGAGAAGCAGGAGAAGAAGCTGCAGCTATACCCAAAGCACTAAACTAAGAATGGATAGGACAGTTGAAGAGGGACAGGAAAAGGTGGATGACATCCATTCATTTTTAATTTTCTAAAATGGCTAAACCAATAACTCAAACTGGAGTAAATCAGTCATTTGTCTGGGACTATTTTCAGTGCATTTATACAAATTAGCTTTTCCTTTGTTATTATAGATTCATAGATTCATTTTGCAGTAAAAGTGGGAGGTCGGATTCGCACCCCTGACCGCTGTGACAAGTACAGACTCTTCACTTGGGGCGTGTGACATAAACGCTAAGCTATGGTATGCTCCAATAACATGATAAAAACCTTTATCCGCCATGTGGTGGAAATTCCCTGAGATGTACTCGCCAAATGGACAATCTGTCCGCATTTAGAGGTTGGCAGATGTTAATTTCAAAACCTGCCAAAAAGGTTGTTTTGAGTTTGCTTTTTAAGCCTGCCGTTTTTTCACCGTTTTTTAGTTTAGATGATTTTTAATGGAATATGCAAATGAAAGTCCACGATGTCCACTTCCTGCCTGCCCCCTGGGTGCTATATGTTTTCACCACATTTAAGAGGACGCATTACAAACAACAGTGACATCATCAAGGGACGTTCAAGGCGATAGTCTGAACTTTAATTTATCTTGTTTTTAATTCAAGTTCAATTCAAACAGGATCAATCAAAGAGTAATCCCCTGCTGCCATGTTGGGACACACATGATGTTACTCTGTTTTCAAGTGTTACGTCAAATAACAACGTCATTAATGAAAGTATAATGAAGTCTATACCTGTTATAAATGTTATTTTAATTTTGATTTAAACTGAAAAATACACAAAAGCGTCCAGTTCTTAAAGGGTTATTAGTTTGTGTGTCCTATTGAAGCAAAAACAAATCCTTGAATCTATGATTGAAAATTGGTTGCATCTTCTCAATGTCAAAGCTAAATGTTGCAGTTTTTAGATACAAATCCTCTCTTATGGCCTTGTTTTTTTCTTCACTTTCCCTCCACGTCTCTCCAAACCCTCACTTTCTGTCTTAACATGAGACACAGTGAGAAACAGAGAAATAAAAGACCTCCACCTCCTCCCAACAGTGGGAGTGAGCGCTGTCCTCTGGGGGAACCCAGTAAGATGTCTTTGGAGGTTGTTGCAGAAGATTTATGGCATCTTCTCGGCGTTACAACGTGACATCTCACTCTCTTTCAGGCGTTCCTTATCACAAACACAAACCCAGGACGTCGACCGCTATCGTCATCGCTGTGTAACATCGTAGATGAAACAGACAAAGAGAGGGCGTGTAGGATGTGTTGGGAGAACAGTGATACATGGCTGATGAATATTTCAAGGCTCCTCTGTTATGTGAAGAGGAAGGAACATGAAGACACCGGAGGATCTTACAGAAATCAGGACATGAGGACACACACAGAGACTCAGTCCCAGGTGGAAAGGGAGTTTAGAGGTTTTTTTTCCATCTTTTAGTTTGAATGTTTTTGACTTATCACAATATATGATGAATATTGACCCTATATTGATTACATTTCGTCAACTTTTTCTTTTTCTTGTTGGGTATGACTAATGGAGCTCAGCGTGAATTCAAGCAGGAAGACAGGTTGTATTCTCTCACACATTTATTCAATTTTCTTCATTCAATTTAGCCACTTCCTCTCTACCACTTCCTCCGGGATCAGCTGATTTGAGGCATTTACTCTTTGAGTAATAATCCAATCTGATTCTGCCTCAATCTCTCCCAACCAATCATCCTGCCGCGGTCAAATTTTAAAATCTGTTCTCTCTCTTCCACAATTATTTTGTCATTTCAGTTCGATCGCTGCATCCCTCCTCCGCCCCAGTCACCTCCATTCCAGCTCAGCAGGACGTGAGAGTTCACCTCATCACATCCTGTAATCTTCTATCATCACCACCATCACCAGTGTCTAGACTCAATAGGGGGGGGGGATGTCCTATCCTGCTGTCGGCCTCATTACCCCTCAGAGTACATGAAGTCGTCATGAGGAGTCTAACCCCCTTTGCACATTTATTTCCTGAATTTTTAAATAAATAACTGTTCATTCTTAATGAAGTCTCTCCTGATTGAAATACCAGATTTGGTCCAAAAACAACACTGGAACTTGCAAGCAAAATTATTTTCTCAAACCCAAAATAAAGCCCTTGAAATGTTAACATAAAGAGCTTGAGATAGAAAAAGAAGCGGACAGATTAGAATAAATTCACGATACTGAGCAGACACTGTTTCAACAGACACTATCACTACAGTCAATGATGGATGCTGACAATAAGTAATCACAATCTGAGAGCCGGAGAGCACAAGTTGAAGATAAATGATTCTACTGAAGGAACATCCAGAACAAACTCTTTGCTCAAAATGAGGGAGTTGTTCATAATAAATGCAACAACTACACCAAAGAGTGCACTGCACAGCCACAGTGCATATTACAAGAAGTCCTTAAGAAAGTGAAAATTAAACTGCACAAAGCTCAAAAGGGGTTTACAAAAAATGTCAGAAGAACAATCAAAAACGCATGCACGCACACTCACGGTGGACGACAATAACTTCATGAGAGCACCTTGTACCACTCATATTTTACTCCAGAATCACCAATCAGCAGTTTCCTATTTGTTTTTATATACTTTGTGTTGACATTCATGTTTGCAGGTGAACAAAACTGACACCTGTTGCATAACAGTGTTATGCTAAAGTCTGAGTTGCTTCCTTTGCTTTGGTTTTAAAGGTCCTTACTGTGCTGCTTACCCAAGTATCACATATGAACATAAATAACACAACATGCATTTATATTTATATTCATGATAGTTGCAAGACGTGTAAAAAACAACCTTGAATAACACATTCTATGATGTTGATGGTCAAAATACATACTTCAATGGCACCAATATGGCCCAATATTTTTTTCTGTCTCTCCCAAGTTCTACAACTATATGGAACGGCTATATAGGAACGCCCTTTATTGTATCCATGACAACAATACTGGCTTATTTCTTTGCTCTGAATATTATTAAGTCGAGTGAAACAATGAAAGATTAAATGGCAGGCAAAGACTTTACTTTCTTTTGGTATAATCTGAGAAATTGTTTTGCAGACATCTCACAGAAAAGAGGAACACAAAATAAACCAACACAACAGAAATAGTACATTTAGGATTTTAATATACAGTTGTTTTTTTTAAGATAAAGTTCTTTGATAAACAAAGGGACAGTTTTTTTGGCTATATAAAAAGCTATTTAGAAACCTGTGACTAGACTTAAAGAGACAATAGTGGTTGTGTGCTTACATTATCAGGTATCAAATACAGACACAATTTGCTCAGAGTGAAGAAGATACTCACAAAACCCAGAAGAAACGTCTCACAGACTGATTTACACAAATCACTTCATCAATAGTTTGAACCACGTTACTAAACACTGAGCCATTTAGAATGAGCTATGCTCCCAGAAATATGCAGAAAAAGAGAGTCAGGTGCGGAAGGTCGTTTTACACTCAAGTTTCATCAAATAACAGGCGGGAAATCCCAGGAAGGAAATAAAAAGCCATTCAGTTTTCAATGTGATTTACTGGTAGAAACATAGCTGGTGCAAGGACATAAACTCCCTGGACAGGATTACACATTGGCCCCCAAAACGCTGATAGCAGTGGTTATAAAATGAGTTGTCAAACTTGCTACAGGGCATTGTGTTGCAGTGTTGCGAAGTTCCTGTCCACTTCTTCTATTAACTAAAAAAAAATGCAGGCAGACCCAAACAGAGGTTACATTCACCTGGATCTCTTGGCGCTCATAAACTGGATTTCATTACAGCCAAAGGGTTGCTGCCTCTGGACATTGCAGGAGAAACAACCTACTGTATATCCACATTTTCAAAATAAAAAATGTGCCTATACAGTATTTTCAACATTATGTGCCTCAGCTGCTTCCAAACTTTTTGTGATTTCTGTTGCTGTAATACTCTTCTTCCTGTTTTGATGGAAATTAAGGTAAACTGACCCCCATGATAAGAGAGACACCCAGAGATAGTGTGCTACTCCCACAAGAGCACGAGAGACAGACAGAGAAAAAGGTGTTTGGCAGTGCAGAATCATATGCAAAAGATTCATCGCAATATACAGTTTACCAATGAACATCACACCTGGGTCATCACAGAGTTTAAACCATTCATCTCAGTTACAGAAATTGATGTCTAACACACATAACAAAGGCTTTCTAGAGTAGTTATGGTCATCTTCAGAAGATCTCAATTCACCTCTAAGATACAAACTATTTGTCCCAAATGTTTGCGTTGTTCGGAATTCAGAGTAACTTCAATTACCTGCATTGTAATGAGCTGTAGCAGTGGTTTGAACCTTGTTTTGTCCCAGATCTGATGGGTATAAGATTAAGAAAACAGATTTACAGTACAATACACTTGCAAATTGTATACACTGTGAAAAACATTTCTAAGGTTCTCCTTAAAATCTCAAGTAATTAAACTGCATAGGGTATTATTGGTCAAGAAACAAGACTTTGTTTTACACTAAGGCTGGCCCAACACCCTTTGTTGGGCAGATGTTGCTATGCCTGGAAAACGTTCTGTTCTTGTACGCAACAATAACAGTGGTATATTTACCTCTCAAAATTCTTAATAGTGACAAATAACCACAATCGGAACGTGTCGTCCCCTCAGCCACTGCCTGACGCCCAGCCACCACCATCGGGCTCTGTGGTCCCCACAACCACCGCCGTCCTCATTCATGTACGGCCTGCTCCGACCTCCACCTCAGCGGCGAGGACGTGTGGACAACAGGAACGCCAGGAATACAAAGTAGAAATCTTTCCTCATAGTATCCCATAGGCCTATGCCCTTTTGTAACGCATCTCGGAATAACACTTGTTATGAATTGCCGCTATACAAATAATGATTGATTGATAATGATTGAAAAAAGGTTCCTAATTTCAGACAGAAGTGTTCTTTTATTTTGTCCTGTCAACTTCTTCATTTAACACTGTCCCCAGCTCTCGCTAGCTAGCTTAACTAAGCTAACATCAGCAACACTTGTTAGTTAAAACTCGCAGTGTTTTCTTAATTTAATTTTGAAAAGTCAAACTTGGTATCATCTTTGAGTTTATATCCACCCACATGGTAGCATTTCATTTTCAATTGTAATAAATAACTTGTATGAAAACTAAAAATTATTAGTACAAATATATATAAATTCCCCTCATATTTACAGCCTAGCGATTGTATTTACAATGAACATTTGGAGAATTGGCACTTTTTTGTTACAATAATTAAATAATGTGTTGTGACTTCCTAGTAAATGGTTGATAATTGATGTTCACGTTTACATAGCAAAACTAACTACCATAAATAATTATTCTATTCCAGTGTAATGGTTAGAAATTCAAATGCTAGTGTTTTATTGCATTATTGCATCTCTACATGTTAAGTATTAGTAATTAGCATATTTTTTGTATCTCAGTGATATTAAAACACTGAGTACTTGCTGTGATTTAAAATAAAGGGTCGCCATACTTGCTGTCTAGGTTTCACACAAAGGTAATGCTAGCAAAAGCAGGGTTCACACTCAAAAAATCTCTCATAACTGTGTACATGGCAGCTCTGTGATACTCTGCATTGATTTTTTTTCTCTCTCTCAAGCCACTGTATTACATTTATTCGAGGTCACAGATAACTGTAATCTGTCTTCTTGACCAAAAACACAGTCCCCAGCTCAATTACTTGCGATTCTAAGTTGAACCGATGGACCTGTTGTTTACAGCGCATTCATCATAAGAGCACCGAAGAAAGTGTACAGTTTATATACAGCCCAAAGTGTAAGGCGTAACATGATACAACAGTGTAGTGCAGATTTTTATATTCAGTCCAGTCCATGCTGAGTCCATCCCTTTCTGTTATATTCCACTCTGGTATGTCTTTTCTGTCCAAGTTCTTCAATTGAATCCGTAGTTTCTAATTTGATTCCATTCCACTTCATTCAACTCTTCATTAAGTCCATCCCAAACATCCCAATTCCTTGTAGATGTATCTCTGAGACCAGCCCAGTTGTGTTTAAGTCTGCTTGATATTTTTCAGTGTAAGTATTGTTGTGTACATGGGGAATCCACTCTCCTCTCTGTTGTTCTCCTGCAAACTGTCATTACTGCAGAGACGCGCTGCGCTAGTTTAATTACCATAAGCCTTGATCCCATGTGTGCTGCATTATATGAACTGTACATTTACAGCTGTAGAGTCTGTAAACAAAGTCCTGTAGGTCTATAGGCAGTATCAGCCCAATTTTTTTTAAATCTGGGTGGTGTGTTAGTATACAGAGCTGAATTCCATTTCCTGTTTTTTTTTTTAAAGGACACATTTTGAAGGGGATTCACGTTGATTATTTCTCCCTCAAGATATCAGTGCTCTTTATCATTCATGTTGGCCTTTTTAATTCATCATGACAAAGAGTCTCTTTCATTGAACGGGTCATTTTGTGACACATCCTGTACAATTTGTAGGCTATATGTACATTGTAGAGTACAGTATACATTTTTTTTTTACCTTAACCTGTCAGGAATACAACAAGGCCTGTGGGAACTACAGCATTTTATTTTTTTTTTGCTGTAGAATAAGATAATTCTAAGAAAACTGATCTGATTTAAATCCCTTGAGAAGATCCAGACATCATTGGGGTTCAGAAGCCATCCCATCTGTCCAAAGATATTTAGGCATACACGGTCTACGGCAGGGAGGTTTGTGAGTTTTAAAGGATTCAGGCTGAATTGCTAAAAATATGTACTGACCCTGTTTGAAGAGCACCCCAGGGTATGAGTGAAAAGATTTTGCTTTTTTGTTAGCTTTCCTGTAAAATAAGTGTTATATAGTGACTGTAAATGTACAGTATTACTGTAAGGAATGAACACTGAGGATGTAGGACACTGGCTGAATGTGATTATTCAGTGTCCGACTTTATCCATGCTCCAATTGAAAAATGTGATCAGATCAGGTAAGGCAAATCTCTCCAAGCCAAGCCAAGTCCGACAAATGCTAGCCAACGGCTAGTAGCACGCAGGTGAAATCCCCATCCCTTATGAGGAATGTCTGTTTAGCAGTTGGAGCCTGCCGGTGTGTAGTTACTGAGCTCCCTGCGGATGGTGCTGAAAGGCGACAGCTCAAGCTCAGTGGTGCACTCGTGCTCGTTGTCGTCGCTGGCCGTCGCTGAAGAGGGGGCGTGGTTACAGCAGCAGCAGCAACAGCAGCAGTCCAGGAAGGCCCTGCCCAGCGGACGGCAAAGAAGAAGCAGCAGCGCAGGCGTGACGGCGGCCCGGCAGAAGAGCAGCAGCTGGGAGAGAAGGTGGAGCACAGACATGGTGTGCTCAGGTACACCTGCTGCCATGTAAGCCGAAACAATGTTGCAGATATTCTCAGGCACTACACATGCGCCGTACACGATCGCTAGGGCTACAACTGTGCAGTTCATCTGGCTTTCAAGTCGTATCTGCTTCTTGTTGCTGCGCACACTTGCCTGTTCAGCGCGCCGGATCTTGCGCGCCGTCACCAGTGAGCACCCAATCGTAAAAAGGGTGGGGAGGCAGAAGTAGCAGCCGAAGCACCACCACAGGCGAGCTCCCTCATATGTCAATCCCAGCACGTAGAGCATGTCAGGAAGGGAAGTGGATATCCTGATAATGCAGCGTTCGACGGGAGGCTCGTCTGGCATCCCCGTGTCCTCGGTTACCAGCTGTCTGATAAGCAGCTCTGGTAGGGCCAATAGGAGAGCACCAATCCAGATGACAGCTAGCTTTGCAGTAGTGGAGGTGCAATTCTCAATCATCTCGTAGTACATCTGGACGTTGGTGGCTGCGCGGAAGCGGTCAATGCAGAGAGCGCACAGGGTGAAGGTGGTGACACCGAGAGAGGCCACCTGAGGAGAGAAAGACAGAACACTTTAAAAATCAGAATCAAAAGCTGTGTTTCCTATGCAGGAACTTTCCCCCAGGGACAAGCAACTGAAGGAGGTACTAGGTGCATTTCCCCCAAATTCCTAAGGTAAAGAACTTGTTTTACACCCCACAAGGTCTCTGCTCTACTGTGTGACTCACGCACGACATAACCACTAAACTATTGGTGCTGCTGCAATTTATATTAAATAGTTAAAAATCATAGAGTTGTGCAGTGGTGATGATTTTTACAAATGAAAAATAATATCGTAAACCTACATACAACAGTGTGTCTTTTGTTTTGTTATTATATTTTGGGGCCTTTTTGTCTTTACTAGATATGACAGCTTGAGAGAGACAGGAAATAAGAGAAGAAAGGGGGGTTGACATGCACTAAATAGCATTGTGTGAAAACAGTGTCAGGATCAGGAGTAGGACATGCAACTAGTATGCATCGCATCATATGACCAGGATTTAAGCCTCCCTCTGTACATATGGCGCCTTCTCTACAAACCAGAAACCTGGAACAAAAACAGACTGAAGGAACTTTTTAGTCTCTTAAAGAAAAGCTCCTGAGATTAAAAGTGCCAAGAACTTTTAAGTACTTCTTCAGTCTATTTGTTCATTATTTGCAATTACATTGATGTGGTTTGCCATTGAATGATGGTGCCTTTAGAATTCTGAGAATATCTAAAAAAAATCTACACACATGACTGAAGGGAAAAACATATAACAGAAACCCTCAGAGTTTACGCCAACAGCAGATAATCTGCAATCCATTATTTAGCTGACAGATGGGATGAGATGTGTGCAATATTGAAGTCAAGCTTGTCAGGTCTTCAGTCTTTAATGAAAAAAAGAATAACAATGAACTGACAAAAGTATCTCCAGTGCAGAAAGTAGAAGTAGATCCACTTGGCTGACACACAAATAAAGGCCTTTCTACCAGCTGACGAGTCAGCCGCTTGCCCATAAATAAACAACTGGACACACTGTAATGGCATTGGCCTGCAGGTGCACCTGACAGTTGTGTAATTACAAGCACTGGTGCAACAGAAGCACAATGGAAGTCTGTAAGCTGCTATTAACACTGTGTAACATCTCTGAATGTGCGTGTGTGTGTGTGTGTGTGAGAGAGAGAGAGAAAGGAAAGCAGACAGAAATAGAGACACAGCCAGCAAGTGACACAGTGGATTATAAACTGTTGTCACTGCATTCATTCATTCATTCAAATGTATTTTCACACCCCTTCTTCAATGGTAGTCGTACTAATTAACAGACTTCCTAAACATTCCATTGTTTTCCCCGATTGTGTGTCAGTCAAAATCTCCTTTTTTTTTTTTTTTTACAGCTATTAGGCAGCATTGCTTTCGCATTCTCACAGCAAAAAAACGTCAGCGAGCTCATAAATTTCCACAGCATGGGAAAGCATCTGTTGGATTAACAGCCATTTTGGCAGAGTGGGCACCCTGCAAAGCAATGCTCTGCAGCTGGAGTGTGTGTGCATGTGTGTGTCTGTCCCTGCATGAACCAGCTCCCTCTATGGTTTCGCCTCCAGCATCAACTCTCCATCCTGCCTTACCTTCCTCATACCTTTTCTCACTCTCCCTTATCGCTCCTCTTTTTTCTCTCATTGTGCTTTGTTCCACTTTACATACCCCTCCTTCCTTCTCGCTTCCCTTCATATCAAATTTAATTACACAAGCCAGCTTCCCAGATGGCCCCAGTGAGCCTCGGCTTTAGAGCTCTAAACACATACATCCTGGACAGATATAGATGTACACACTACATACACACTGCAAGATGTTCTGTGTGTGTATGCCCGAAACACACACACACACACACACACACACACACACACACACACACACACACACACAAACTGACCCCCTGACACACATGGATATCGTAACCAGGCTAATGAAGAGCGACCATGCGAAACAGGGAGGAGAAAGTGGGGTAAACAAAGCACCAACAGGCTCCAGCATCCTTCACTGTAACTAAGGTCTATGTGACTGTGCTGGGGGGGGAGGGGGGAGGGGGTGGGGGGGTACTACAGTTTGTCACCTGCCGTTTTGCTAGAATCTTGTGACTGTCATCGTAGCAACCTGTTCTGCAATATAGCCAAAGTGCAACAATAATCATTCATTAGGTATTCAAGTGAGGCAGCTTTACTCCTAAGCAACTTGGAGTAGCTCTAAGCCAAGTGTGTTTATGTGAGTAGTTTATTCACACTCTGGGCAGATTAAGTCTTTACGCGATTTGGGCAGATGTCAGAATTTAAGTGCACTTGGAAGATGTTGTCATCTTGCAGTGAGTTCAGAAAGCCATGCAGTCAAAACCAAAGAAACTGCAGAGCCTTGGCAGCAGTCTTAAGCTGAAGGCCTATTTTCATTAATGTGACGTAAACTTGTAATTTTTTAAAAAACAAAACAGAAAAGGTACAATTTGAAGAGCTTATAAAAGTTGATAAAGCTCATATGAAGTTGTTTGGATATGATTTGGGTTTGTTGAACGCATAAAAAAATCGAGAAATGTTCCGATACCATTTCTCGCTAACTGAGACAAATATGTAGACTTCCATATTTGTCTCTATACCCCTCTCATAGCAGTGTTTAAAAAACAAAGTGCTTACTACTTGTCATGCATGGATGTGATAAATATTGCGATCATTGTTGTGGTCTGGCTCAGTTAACCGAAGGAATCCTTATGTAGAACTTAGGTGACCACCGAAGCTAACATTAGCATGAGCCCTGTGACGGACTAAGAACATAGAGAAACCATGAGTTTAAGCATTTAACTGCATTATCACATTGTTTCACCTGTTTTTATTTAACCTTTAAAAATTCAGCTTTAAAATGTGTATTGGGAAAGCAGTGATTGCATATATTTTTCTTGATTTGATGCGTCATGCTTATGGTGTTGTATGCTTTTATCAAAAGATCTTTAACTTGATATCCGTTATTTCCTGCAGCCTGCAAGTGTTGATGTGCAAGGGTTAGTGATTGGAGAAATAAGTTGATTTTCAAGGAGTGGTAAACAGATTTTATTGTCTTATTGGCTAATTGGTGGTCTTGCTGATATCCAGAACACCATTTTAAGCGGTTTGGGAGAAAATTGGATAGCTTTCAGAGTGACTCTTGGGGATGTACTTAAATAAGAAGCAAAACATACAGTAATTGGGCATTTATTCATAATAAAAAACAAGCAAGTTTTAACAGAATATGACATGAAGTAAACAAAAAGGAAATATTTAAGTTGGTAGCATATTCTGGTGCTTACACTTGCAAAAAAAAACTCTAGACGACTTATTGAATTTTCAGGGTGAGCTGAAAGTGTAAACAGACACATCTTTCACTCCGACTTTTCCTGTAATTATTCCTGCCAGCCCCCAAGTACATTTTCCTGGTGAAGTCAGGGTGAGCTGACGTGACCTTAGAGTGTATTCATGCAACCAGTGTGATCTCCATGCACGTTAGGAAGCGGCTTTATCATGTTTTCTGTCCGCCGGTATGTTCTCCTATGGTCTTTTGTTGATTTTGTGAACTATACAAAGCATTACTTTAATCGCAAAATTGCTGATGTAGTCAGACTCTGTTGCTTCGTCTGCCACTTCCACTTCATTCTTCTTACTTCATGTCTTGCCTCCATTCCCACTCTCCTGTCTGACATGGATTGTCTCCCACTGTGGAGTGCATATGTGAACAAGCTAATCGGGCAGATTTCCGGGTCAGCCTGCCCGAAATGTTCTACATATTTTCAGAAGGTAAAATGGGAAAACAGCTTTATTGTTTCAAATTTCCCCTTAAACTAAAGGCACTCTGATCCAGTCAAAATGATCAAAATCATTTCCACTATGTGACAAAAGGAAACATTAGATTCAGTTTTTATTATGCTCTAGTGTTTTTCAGGCAATGTCCATGAACAAATGAGTAGCACTCTGGTGCACCTTTGGCACTTATGTTGAAACAGAGTTTGACACAGACTCATCTCCAAGCAAACCATAATGAAAAAACCTTTCACCTTCAATTTGTTGCTGAAACAGATACATGGCAGCTGTGCTCACTTGATTCTCTCTATTATCCTGAAGTGTGGATACCTTTCACTGAAATTATTCTCTCTGCGATTTAATCACCATCTCCCGTCACTATAATGTTGCCTGCTCAGGACGGATATTTTAGTTTTGAGGTGCTTTTGAGAACTTCTAGTTTGCAGTTTTAGCTTTTTTGGAGTTGAGTAATTTGCAGTTACACATGCACACCAAGCAAGCACATCTGTAGTTCCATATGTGATAGCTTTAAGTAAGCAAACACACAGGTATACAAATACCCATCCAGCACACATGGACAGGTGCTTGCACATCCTGAATATTTCATGGTTTGAACAACAGGGTTGGAACGGCTTTAAAGGCTGTCATGGAGGACCAGGAGAGCCAGCTTTGATCAGCGTGTTTGGGGCGGAGAGCGAGCGCAGGGTGAACAAGTGAAGCTTTGTGCTACAGGGGAGATGACAGATAGAGAGTCCAAGAGTCAGGCCTGGTGGGGTGATGAAGCTGTGTTTGTGGAAGGGGGTTATGCAAATGAGAGACCGAGAAACAGGGACAGAAGAATGGAGGGGGAAAAATGAAGAGGAGTGGGAGAAAAAGAAAGAGGGGAAAAATAGAAAGAAAGAATAAAAGACATTGCAGAGGGACACATCACATGAGTGAGAGACAGTCCAAAGTGACAGGAAGAGAGCAACAGGTCATCTTCAGAATGATTAACAATGTTAATGTGGCATTTCTTCCAAACAGTGGCTTGACCCTGTCATGTTCATGTTCATTTCACCTGCTTTCAAGATGACAGGGTTGCCTCAGGGTTGAAAATTGTGTTTTAAAATATTATAATTTTAATCTGACTACTTATTTAAAAGTGAAATGCATTTTACTCAAGTGAACAGGATTTTTTTTTGTGAAAAGATCGTAAGCAGCTTATTGCCAAAAGTT